TATACGTAACTACGTAAAGCTGTTATACGTAACTTACGTAAGGCTGTTATATTTAACGTACTTAAGGCTGCCACACCTAACGTACTTAAAGCTGTTACACGTAACCTACGTAAAGCTGCCATACGTAGCGTACGTAAAGCTATTATACGTAACTTACTCGTAAACTATAGTTCACGAGCTATATAGCTTTACGAATAACTTAACTTTATTAAAAAACTTAATAATTATAAAAAGAATTAGCTCTTTTAAAGTTTAATAAAAGTAATACTTATAATTAAAAGAATTACGTGTACTAGCTAACTAAAAGGTTTTATAATTAAATTAAAAGTCCTTTAATTAATATAATATTTTAAGCGAAGCATGCTAATTGACCCGTAAACCATAATTCACGGGTGAACTTTTCTTTTAACTATTACTACCGGTATTCTTAACTAGCTAATTAAAGTCGATATAAATATATTAATAATAATAAAAAAACTAAAGATATCGATAAAAAAAAATTCAAATAATTATTGTAATTAATTATAAACAAATAAATACAAAAACTTAATAATACAAAAAAAGCAATTTAATAAATAAAATCAAAGTCGCTAATTATAAAACCTAGCAAGAGCGATACTCTTTGCAATTATACGCTTGATTCTAAAAAAAGCTTTTTTCTTTTTATCTTATACTAATCCCGCTTCATCATCTTCTTTTTCTTTTATTCGTTTGCGCTTTAAAGTTGATAATAGATTTATAATTCGTTCGCTTATAAAAGTATTAGATTTAAAGTCGTTAAACTTATATATAATAATTGATTTACTTTAACTTTAAATAACGATTAAAAGAGTTTTAAGTTTCGAAATACTAAGTTTCGAGGTTTAAGCGGCATTTAAAGTTCTATAAGATAGCGAAGCCGAGTCCGGTATTTTATTAGCTTCCTTTTTACTTATTATCTTTTCATCACTTTGCTTAAAGCTTAATATTTCTTTTGCGTTAAAATAATTTTATTAAGAAATATCATTTGAATCGTTTTGATCGCATAAATTTGCTATCGCTAATATTTAAGTTAAAATTTATATCTAAATAAAAGCGTATATTATATAATATCGTATTTCGTTGCACTTTATTTTTATAATTTATATAACGTTTAAAGCTAGTCGATTCGTTCGTACCGTTCGAATCTGAATTTTTTAAATCGTTTTCGTTTTTTATATTATCAAGAACGTTTTAATTTATATCATCTTGAGTTTGTTTATCGAAAAGTAAATCCGTAGCTACTTTCGATTGATTTACTTTGCTTGGTTTTCTTTATAAAAAATATAATCGATTTGCTACGACTTTGCTTTAAGAAGCGGAAGAATGCGCTTTATATAATCTTATATAATAATTAATAAATCGATTAGTAAATCGATTAGTAAATCGATAAAAAGTAAAAATATCGCAAGTAAATTAACTTACTTATTAAATGCCCTTTGTAATTTAAAGACTTTCTGTACCGTAGTTATCGCATTTTAAACGAAACATTTTTATTAATATCTTAAAACTCATTTAAGTTCTCTTTTATTTAATATAATTAATAAATATTTATAAAATCAATATTATTTAAACTTACGTAATTCTCGCACTTTAGCTTTCAATATTATCAACTTAGCTTTTCGTTGCTTAAAACTCATTGTTCGAAAGTCTTAATCGATCGTAAGATTATCGCAAGCAAAGATATATTTAAAATAAAATAAGCTTTAAAATTAACGATTTTGCTATTTTTAAAACTTTTATACTTCTTATTCGAGTTCTTCTTTAAGCTGATCTTTATTTAAATTATTATAATTTATTAAAATCGATTCGAATAAGTGCCGAGCTTTATCTAAGCGAATATTACATATCTTAAAATATAAAGCAGTTATTTCTTTTACGATTATTAATAATAATAAATTACTGCGACGATAATCGCAAATATCTTTTGTAATATTAAATACTCTTTCTACGCAAACACTAATTAAAAAGATGCATAAAAAATCTTTAGCTATTTAAGCTAAATCAAGGTATTGAAGCTTAAGGTTTCGTTAAAAAGTTAAAATCTTTCGTCCGTCGACCGTTAAACTTAATTAATAAAAATTAATAAAATTAAAATTTTAAATTAAAATTTTAAACTTACGAGCTAAAAGATAATTATGCACTTCCGACGACTCGTGATCTATATCTTTAAAAGAAGCTTATAAAAAAGAACTTAGCATTAATTTACCGCGGAATAATAAAGCGGCTATTAGTTAACGATCGATTGCTTTAATATTATTAATACGTTAAGCTATAAATATTAAAGACTTATAATGTTTATTAAAAAGCTTTTCGAATCTCGCTCGATATATTATAGATTAATCTTTATCTTCGGAAAGTTAAGAAAAATTTAAGTCGAAAGTCTTTAACTTAATAGCAAGATATAAGATTATCGCGAAAGCAAAAATATCTTTTAACGGCTTTTGCGTTTTCTTATAATACTTATTTGATTTCTCGATAATATTAATAACGCTTTTTTTTAATTGCAAGATCTATTTAAAATTATTACGATCTTCTTTCGAAATCTTTATATATTTAAACTTTAATCGTGCTTATGCTTCATTTAAACGTTCTAATATTTTATCGAATATTAAAAATCTATATTAAATAATAAGACTAAGCTCTTCACTTAAGTGCATAATTAAAAAGTGAAACAGTCGAAAGATATCGATTAGTTATAAGATTTGCTTTTATTAAATATCAAATAATTTAAAAATATTTATCTCATCGATCTTTATATAATATCTTTAAATAATATCTTTAAGAGTTATGAATCGATTAAGCATATAAAATATAAAATCTTATCTTATAACAATATTTAAAACAAGCTTTAAGCTTTTCGTTAAAAGATGCTTTGAATCGTCGATAAAAGCTTTTATTGTTTTATTAAATCGCGATTTTCGAAGTTAGCTAGCCGTAATACACTTGATAAACTTCCGAACTTAAATACGTTGATCAATAATTAATAAATATAATTAATAAATATTTTTTTTAAAAAAAAACTTATAATCGCAAGTGTATATGCAATCCTTCGTTTATCGCGTCTTTTTGCTCTTTCTAGCTCGTTTATATCAGAATCTTCTTCTTAATGCTTTTTTAAGCTTTCGTTCGTTAGCGATAATCGCAGTCCGAGCAACGCTTTAAAAGATAATTGCAAGACGTAAGCTATATACGAAACGTATAGAATCTTTTAACTTATAAAAAGCTTTTTTTCAAATGCATCTTTAACGCATTTAAGCAACTTTTTTATTATTATATTATTCGAAGATACGTTATCCGTTATAATCGCGATTATCTTTTTTATTAAGCTTAATTTAATAAAGCGTTCGTAAATAATTCTTGCTAATTCTTCTTTTATATAATTGAACTTAACGTATATAAATTTAAGCATAAGCTAAATCATATGCTAATCTTTTATAATTGCAATTCCGATTATATACATGAAAAAATAGCGCTTAATACTAGACTAACAATCTAATAAAATGCTAAGTTTTTAATTAGCTAATAAATTATTTAATAAATAGCGATCAATTTTTAAAATCTTATCGTCGAGATCTCGCTTAATAGTTAAAGCATTAAAAAGCTTAAGATATAAGTTTTATAATTCGCAAAGAGATTTTTAACCCGAGTTATTAACTATTCGAAACGAGCTTCGCGAAAATAATATAATATTTAAAACACTTTTTCGAAATGCTGATTTTAAGTCTTGATACGAAAGCGTTCTTCGTGATAGATGTGTTTATTTGATATTAGTTTTATTATTTATTAATCAAATTTATTAATCCGATTTACTAATTAAATTTACTAATCAGATTTATTAATTAGATTTACTAATTAGATTTATTAATTAGATTTACTAATTAAATTTACTAATTAAATTTACTAATCAGATTTATTAATCAGATTTACTAATTAGATTTACTAATTAGATTTACTAGATTTATTAACCGAATTTATAAATAAAAACAAACGTACCAAATTGCGTTAAAGAGATTTAAATCTTAATTGAGTTTGCCGAAGCTTTTGTTTTGGCTTACTTACGACGCGTTTGCAAACGTCCGTTTTCTAATAATCGGCTAATGCTTTCGTTCTAAAAGCTTTTAGCTTCGGATGCTTTAAAGCTCGATCGCACTTCTTATAGCATACTACAAGCTCTCTTGTTGATTTCTCAGCTGCTTAAACGAA